TAGGACAAAATTCTTATTATTGCAGGTACTGTATTATACTATGGAGAACTCTTTTTGCACTCCTCTTGTGCTCTGTCTTTAAAGTAATAGATACACAGAGTTTTAAAAAAAAAAAATCAAAGAGGACCTTGGTTATCATAATGGCAGAATAACTTATTGCAGATAAGTTCCCCCTCATTGGAAAAATCATACAAAACATCTATTTGATGGCAGTGGAGAGAGACGAAGGCACTAAGAGGAATAAGATTTTATTTTATTTTAATTTCATTTTTTAAAAGATTATTTTGAGAGAGAGAGAGAGAGAGAGAGAGAATGAGAATGGGGGAGGGGCAGAGAGAGAGAGGGAGAGAGAGAATCCCAAGCAGGCTTTGCACTGTCAGTGTGGAGCCTGACGTGGGGCTCAAACTCACGAACCTTCAGATCATGACCTGAGCTGAAATCAAGAGTCTAGTGCTTAACTGCCTGAGCCACCCAGGCATCCCAAGGGACAAGATTTTAAAGAGAAAAAAAGCACAGAGAGGGAGGTACAGTGCCACTTTTCCCTTCAAGGCATTCCTTAATTTGTAAACTGTTGCCCAGGAGCTGAGCAAAACTTCCTGCAATCTCACGGGGCTGGGAGAATTAAAAAGGACAGTTGTGAGCCCATGAAAGGCAATGTCCTTGGTAAACATCACAGATGCTTTGATGGGATGCACAAAGGGCTAGCCCATAAAAAACAAACTGGAAATAGACCACAGAGTTTCCAATCAGCTCCGTCCCTGCCCATATGACAGTGATCTGCTTAGATGTTCACTACATGCCAGAAACAAAGAATAATCCTCTGTAGGGAAAAAAACACAATTCAGAGCCTCAGACCATCTCTTCAATTTAAAGTACCCATGTCTAGCATTAGATTAAAAAATATCAGCAACAGTAGGAGGTAAGACCAACGGCTGAAAACGGAGAAAAATGACAATGAATACAGGCCCACAGGTGATCCAGATATTGGAATTACTGGACCAGGACTTTCAATAACTTGTGATAACTATTTGAAGAAATTAGATGGCAAGATAGAAAATTTCAGCATCCAAAGTTTGGAAAGTGCAAGAAAACTATCAAGAGGATTTTATCAAACTGAAAAATGGGACATTTCAAATTAAAAACTCAGAAGAGGCTAAAAGCAGAGTAGACACAGCTAAGGAGAGGAACAGTGAGATGCAGACTCATCAAAGGAGAATGCTGAGAAAAACACATGGGGAAGAACAATCACAGCAAACATGGGAAAGAAGAAGAGGTAGGCTAAACAGTGGAAATGCCCCATAGAGACAGTAACTGGAATCTTCAGAGAAGACAGAAAAAATGGGGCAGAATCACTACGTGAAAATACAGTGCTTGAGCGATTTCCAAAACTGATGTAAGATAACAAATCCCATTCTCAAACAGTACTAAAACCCAAGGCAGGATAAACACACAATAAAACTTCTTTCATTCAAAAAGCTAGTAGAGGAGCAAAAGAAAACCATATTACCTTTACAAAAGGACACTGACAGCTGACTTCACAACAGAAATCAAGAAAGCCAGACGACAATGGAATAACATCTTCAAAGGGCTGGCATAAAATAACTGCCAACTTAAAATTTTATGAATGAAATTACCCACCAAAAATAAAGGCACAACAAAGGTGGATGCAGACAAAAATGGACAGAATTTGTTACCAGTTGACTCGTACTAAGGCAAATGAAGGGACTTCTTCAGGCAGAAAGGAAATAATCCCAAGTGGAGGCACATGGGAGAAGCAGGAAGGAACAAAGAGCAATGGAAGGGGTAAATATGGAGGTGACTCTAAATGGATACCGACCAAATGAAACAATATGGAGACTGTATTGAGAGATTGATATGTCTGTGTAATTAAAACACACAAAAATGACAATAATGAATGAGAGGGAAGAAAGATGAAGGGAGTTCAAGTGTTCCAAGATTCTTGTACTGTCCAGGAAGAGGTGAACATACTAACTCATGTTAGACTTTGAAAATCATAGGATAGTCAATGAATATACAACTAACAAGCTCGTCAAGGGCAGACAGAATGTAACAGATACATATGAATGTGAAGAAAGGCAAGAAAGGAATCCAGAACAGGTAAGACATTCAGAAAACAAATAGTAAAAGGCTAGATTAAAATCCCAATACATCAGTCATTACATTATAGGTAAATGGAACAAATAGTCCAGCTGAAAAAAAAAGATTGTTGCATCAACAACCCCTCTCTCTGCAAAACAACAAATACATGATGCTTATAACATACCAGTTAAACAAAAGCATATAGAAAAGTTGACAATGGGACAAAACAGATCATGCACACCCTAATGAAAACAAACGCACAAAACTATATACATAGAGCTATAAAACAGTATTAAAAAGAAAATCTAAGTGCAAGGACAAGACATATTCACTGATTAGAAACCTCACTAATATAAAAAGGTTCCTTATCCCCAAATTGATTCAACGTAACTCCAATTTAGAAAAAGGAAAAAATAAGCAGGTCTTTTTGGGGAGTGGAAACTGACAGGCTGATGGTAGAATTTGTTTGGAAAGGCAAAGGGTTAAGAATAGTCAGCCCTTAAAGTCAGAGGACTTATATAATCAGATATTAATACTTAGTATAAAACCGCAGTAATTAGCAAAGTGTGGTACTAAGGTAGGGAGAGGCAATTAAGTCATTGGAAAAGAATCTAAAGATCAGAAACTGATTCTCATAAAAGTTCCCTTAACTAATGACAGAGAAAACTGAAGACTTCTGGGGATATGATGGTTGCTTCAACAAGTGGTGTGGGATACACCACTTGTTGTGTTTGCTCACATACAAAACTCAATTTTAGATGGATCATACTTGTAAGTATAGAAAGTAAAACAACAAAGCTTCTAGACAGCGACAGAAAAGAGTACTTAATGATTCTGGAGGTAAAATTTTTGCAAAGGACACAGTGACTAACCTTAAGGGAAAGAGCTGTAAATTGAACTACATTAAAATTGTAAAAAAAATCTATTCACCAAGGAACAACTTTGAGAGCGAAAGGTAAGCTCCCAGATAAAAGATAAATGGAAATGAAAAGGACTTCCTACAACAAATACAAAGATAAACAAACGTTAAAAATGAAAGTTTGAGTTATTTTTGAGAGAGAGAGAGAGAGAGAGAGAGAGAGAGAGAGAGAGAAAGGGAGGGAGGGAGAGGGAGAGAAAATGAGCCAGGGAGGGGAGAGAGAGAGGGAGACACAGAATCTGAAGCAGGCTCCAGTCTCTGAACTGTCAGCACAGAGTCTGACGTGGGGCTGGAACTCAGGAACCATGAGAACGTGACCTGAGCCAATGTCGGATGCTTAACAGACTCAGCCACCAAGGTGCCCCTCAAAGTTTTTTTTTTTTTTTTTAAAGAGCAAAAGACATGAACAGGCACTTCACGAGATATCCAGATGGCAACTAGTATATGAAAAAATCCTCAAATGCACTGCTTTTCAGGGAAATAAAAATCAGAACCATAATAGGATACTACACCCACTCAGCAGAATGACAATGGCTGACAACAGAAAGTGGAGACAAGGATGTGAACAGCTGGAACTTTCATACACCACCGCCTGAAGGAAGGGAGCTAGAGCCAAGCACAGCCTGGCACTCAGCAATTCCATTTCTAGGTATCTGTTAAGAAAATGCTTATTTATGCCCACTAAACAGCATGTCCTAGAACTGTCCATGGCTTTACCCATCAAAGGGATCAAGTCTCAAATAGATATGGTCATACAATAAAATACTACAGGAAGCAACAGGAATGTAAGAACTGCTGCCTACATCACATGAATCTCACAACGTAATGCCTGAAAAGACAGTGAAGACACAAGGACACATCTGCATGATTTCCTTCATAGTTACAAATGAGCAAATCAACTAATGCTGTTACAAGTCATGGGTGTTTACCTCTGGGAGATAGGAGGGAATATAATGAGGGGCAGGGAGCAGAGGGCACATGTGGGTGTTGAAAATGTCCCGTTACTTGATCACGGTGGTGATGTTTTGGGTGCGTTCCATTTGTGATAACTCATGAAGGTCTACATTTAGGACTTAACATTCTCTTCTAGATGTATGTTATACTTCACTAACAGTGTGTGTGTGTGTGTGTGTGTGTGTGTGTGTGTGTGTTCCAAAGGCAAGCAGTACTACTGTGTAACAAAACCAACTATTTATAACTACTCCTCCCCATCCCAGAGTTCCCCATTCCTCTCCTAGAACCACTCCAGCTCTTTGAGCTTTCTTCTGACATATTTCCTCTTTCCAATAATGGGCTTATAATGAAACTTCTTGATGTTTCCATTTGAGGTAGCTATAGACTTCCTACTAGGTCTTCTTCCTACTAGGGAGATGTTTCCTTATATCCTGGTGTTTTTCCTAGAGCTGATAATTACACAATCTGTTTCTTATACAGACTCCTGTTTAAGGGTGTCTCCTGCCTTTGGGGGTAACTGGTGTCTCCAATAATCAAACCTTCCCAGGGTTTTGCAGTACAAATCAGCTTGTTTCTTGTTGGCTGCCCTATCCTGGGAGGCCTTTAGTTCACTGGCTCTGTCTGCTACCACTCATCTGCCTCCTTCCATGTTTGAAAATTTCACTGAAATCTTATTGTCATCTTCTTTTCCTCTTTTTTTTTTTTTTATTCCTTTACTTTACTGGGATTTCAAGAGTCCCACATAGATAGTTCCAGAAGTTTATAATTACTGTTTGCTTATAGGCTAGTAGGGGTGATCCACAAATAGTTTGGAGTGATCATATTGGATTCGTCTTATATGAAGCCTATTAACAGTATGAAGCCCAGTAACAAGCAAATGGAAAGTGCTTGAAAAATCTGTACATCGCTGTTGAAAAACAAAGTCAGGTTCATGGTCAAGTCCATGAACATCAGCTGCCGAACCCCTCAGCCCACACCCAGGAGCCTGCACCTGGCCACAGGGAATCACAAAAAGAGTGAGTCTCACCTGTGTAGTGCTCATTGCCTTGCGCAGCACAGGTTAGGAGCTGAGCCATGGAGGAGCCCACTGCCTTGGATGTACTTCCCAGGTCTTGAGCACATTTTTCCAGCTATAAGAATATCCAAAGGGGAAGACAGCTTAGAAGAAAAGAAACATACACTGAAGTCTTAGCATAAAAACAATGCACATCAAACGTGGGCCTTAGCTTTTTCCCCCCTAATACCAGTAATGCTGAGTAGGGTCAAAGAGAGGAAAAAGCCCATGTTTCAGAACAAATTTGGGTTCATGCTCCTGCCCTCTACTTCCTTCCCCCACATACTAACTGTGAGAGATTGGGCAGGTTACTGAACCTCGCCATGCCTTGGTTTCCTAAGGAGATCCTAATGCCTAAGCTCAGAAAGTTCTCAGAATCAATGTAGGTACTCAACAAATGGTAGCTATTAGCATTATGCCTTTAGAAGCTAATTTAGAAAGTCTGCAACAAATCCTTAGCGAGAATTAATTATGCCTTGGCAGGAAGTGGGCAGTCATCCAGGGGTACCACCTTCCTGGTGTGTGGGACCATTAACATTGTTAATTTCAATCTTTATACTTTGAGGAGTTCTAACCAGAAGGAAATGCAATAGAAAGAGAGGTTTGCCGTGGTAAATGAGATTATGAAAATGGGCGAAGTGCTTGCTTCCCGTGAATAGCACATCATGTTGCTTTGTAAAATGAATAAATAATTCAGAGAACAAAGTTACTGAAGGTCCAGGGTATGGATAATTATTTGATTACTAGATGAGGACAACATTTTGGAACAGAACCTCCAGGCACACCGCAAGAGTGCAGAAAGGCATCAGAGAGCATGTGCATTTTTTAATTCCACAACATGCTTCCCAAGAGGCAGTGCCTTCAAATAAAAAAGAGCCTGGTCCATTGCAGCCAACAATGTGTTATAATGCTGCACACACATTCCTTTGGGGAAAACAATTTTCTTAAAAATTACATCGTGTTTGTTGCATTCTAACTGACCAGTTGATTTACATAAAAGGCAGGATTCCTGTCATGTCAGTCTCTCTTGGGCTCCCTGGAGCAAGAGTTTGTAAAGGGTCATGCGGACCACATTACAAAGCTGCTGGCCCTACAGCCACTCCTGACTTCATCATTAGCTAGGCGACCTTAGGTGACTTAACTTCTCTGAGCCTGAGTTTCCTCGTCTTTACTACTTCGCAGTAGCTTGATTTCACACATATTTTCTGAGGGCTTGGTATGTACCAGGCATTGTTGCATGGTGAATTTGGTGCTTTTTAAGTCTCCTTCTAAGATTCCACAAGTTTTCAGTTCACCCAAAGAGCAGCAGTAGTCAAGAGTAGAAGCTCTCAACATGAGCGATCAAAAGCATGGGTTTTTGAGTCCTAGAGGTCTGCATTCAAACCCTGGTTCTACCACTAGCTGGTAGATAACCACACAGAATAGTGACAACCTACCTCCACACCTCTGGTTTCTCACCTGTAAGACGGGATTAAGAGAACTCGCTCATTAAGGTTACAACTAGATTGATTTTGTGTGTATACAGTGCTTACGAGGTACTTAATAAATGGTGGTATTTATTAGCAATGTTCAGTAATGTGGAAAAGGAGGTACGTACAAACGAGAAGACCTGGTAAAATCTTAGCCAAGAAAGCCCTGACAGGCCTCAGGAGGTACCATAACATCATCAAATTAGATCTCTGTTGCCATCATTCCACCGACTGTTGTGACTGTACTGTATTCAAGTTCTTTGTCATTGTCCATCCTAGTGACTTGCACTAAGGAAATGTTTTTTCAAATGACTATTGAAAGTATTTTCTGTGTCAACCTTAATAACATCATTGCCATCCATTTCATAGATAAAATATCTGAGACACAGAGGAGATCCAAGACTTATCTAGAGCTAGTAGAGGATATAAGCTGGAGCTAGATGCTAGAACTCCTACTTTTTAAAAATTTATTTAATAAATGTTTATTTATTTTGAGAGAGTGCAAATGAGTGTGAGCAGGTGAGGGACAGAGGAAAGAATCCCAAGCAGGCTCTAAGCTGTCAGCACAGAGCCTGATGTGGGGCACAACTCACAAAACCGGAGATCATAACCTGAGCTGAGCTAAGAGTCAGGACCCTTAACTGACTGACCTGCCTAGGCGCCCCTAGAACTCCTAAATTTTAAAATCTAGCTCCTCTAGCTGCAATGGACATTCTTTTTAAAAAATGCTGTGGGTTCACAACATGGGACTAAAACACAAGGATGTGTCTCGTTTATGAAAAGAGTAATGATCATTAACAGACACTTGTTCATCCTCAGCCAAACCTCAAGCCACACAACCATTACCAGAGGCCCCTTCAAGGCCATCTTTTACTCAACCCAGTGCTTAAATATGGGGCTATTTTAAGGCTTTGCCTTCACAATGTCAGAAATGCAAGCACACCAACTCCAGCTTCTAAAAATGCCTCACCATGATCATACCATAAGGCAGAGTCCCACCCCCAGTGGGCTCCAGAATTTCCTTACCGTTTCCCCTGGAAGTGGTTTCAGTTGACTTTCCACAGCAGCCATCTTGGCATCCTGCAGTTCATTCTTAAGTGTCTGCACGGTGCTCAGAGCTGAGTCAATTTCCATCGGACCACAGGCTTCATGGGCCTGTCAACAGAGTTGGGAATATGTGTACCAAGGCTGCCGAGGAAAAGCGTCCCTATCACTTTGCAATGTACAAAATGCCTTTCTGGATGTACCCAGTGATTCTCCAACACTGGCAACAGGAAGCAAGTGGAGTAAGCGTTTCCTGATAGCACTTCCAACCTCACTCAGGACCATAGTCCTAACGTCCCGAAATAATCAATTATGTATGCTTCATAAGTGGATATACTTAAAGTCTCCTGGAAGCTATTTTGATCTGAAATGCATTTGCTGCTCAAACTAAGAGGATCCTTCTTCACTGTGTCCAGGTTCTAGAGACAGAGCACCACGCACAGTACGTGTCCACAAAGAGACTTGAGAAGCATGTGGTAAGTGAATGAAGAAGGAATGAGTGAAAGAACCCAGGACTATCGGGACAAGGCTTTTTCCACCTTATTGAATCTCTACAAATTTCTAGACTATAAACCATTACTTTTCCACAGTGAAGATTACTAAAGATTTTTTTCCCTTAGTAATTGTTTTAAGAAAACTATTTCATTCTCTTGATCGTTTAAAATATTGGTCTTCAAATACTTTGATCAAGTCCCCCCCCCCACATGTTAATAAATTATATGTGTATAATTATTGCTCAGTATGTCAAATACTGGTAAATCTTAATTTCTTTTTCTTTTTCTTTTTTTTTTTTAGATAATAGTGACAACAACAGCAGTAAATAGTCACTGATTGATTGCTATGTGCCAGTATTACAAGGTGGGGAAACTGAGGCACAGAGAGGTTAATTAACTTGCTGAGGTCACCAAAAATTAGTTGATGGCAAGGCCAGAATTTGAATGCAGGTAGTTTGATTCCAGAGCCTATACTCCTAACCCTTACACTATATAAAACAACATATTTAAAAGCTCTCAGTATCTTCCTCCCCAGTGGACAGTCTCGCTTGAGCCCCACTTTGAGGTTCATTGCTCCAGAGCAGTTGAGGTATGGATGACTCTAAGGCTCACTGAAGAAACTTGTAAAATGTACAAATTCAGGCTCTCTGTTCAGGCACTCTTATTCAGTTGCTCAGAGGTGAGGCCCAGGAACCTGCATTCTGAATGCTCCCAGGTGACTTCAGCACAGATGGTCCTTGGACCTCTGGTTGAGAAACACAGCTCAAGATTTTTTTTTTTTTTTTTTTAACTGAGTATTATCCTAAAGCTCTGGAAATTTTTCTTTGGTGATAAGGCACACTGTTCATATCAAGAATTCAAATCAGCTTCTAACCTTCTTCCCTTCCTCATGTATGACGCCTCTTGTTTCTATAAAGGGACTGCTACAGTGAGGAAAAATGAATTCATGCCAGAATTTCATGCTAATAACACATCAAACAGTACAGTACTGAGGTCTATCGGTAAGTAAGTCCTAGAGACAGAAACTTACTAATCCCTAACTCTGTTCTGTTGAGGACCTTGTTAAGGTGAATGCTCCCATGTAAGATGTAAAAAGATTTCAGGGCAAAAAAGATACTATAAATGACCCCCCTGCCCTGCTCCCTGGAATAATTTTGCTGCCTGAATAGTTGAAGTTCACAAAATAATACCTGCAAGATGCAATCACTTATTGTGGCCTAGAATTTACCTGGCACCAAGAAACTGATGACTCCCTGTCTCCCTTAAGGTTGTGAAACATGGACCATTGCTTGTCCCAGGGCATGGGAGCGGGGAGCATGTAACCTACAATAGTTTAACACAAGTCATGTGTAACTGGAAAGTGATAAACTAAGTCTAGGCGACAGTAGCTAAAAACCGTAAAAGCGAATCCCCATCAAGCAAATGGAACGGACGCCTCTGCCAGGAAACATGCCCGGCCGTGTTCAGGTCCTGGGTCATCCACAGGTCACACCCAGAAGTAAGGCATCTAAAGCTCCATTCCCAATGAGCTAACTGCTGGGACAGGGTCCACTTGCCTTCTGTGAGGCGGTACGTAGCTCTGCCAAGCTGGTGGCAAGGTTCTTGGCACATTGGCTCAGCTGCATGGCTGCAGCCTGGTCGCTCACAGTGGGCACCGCGGCTTTGGCGGAGGCCACCATCTTGCTTCCAGGCTGTAAAGGGAGGAGCAGAAAGTAAGATGACACCTGAGCAGCAAGAGTCCGAGAGCACAGACCAAACAACCAAGCCAGAACTTACTTTCCTCTATGACAAGGAAGAGTAAAATCATCTAGACTATCCCTGAAAATTGCCACCCCAATTCTAGGGTCAGGACATTCTAAGAATGTTAAAGAAAAAAAAAAAAGAAAGAAAAGAAAGAAAAAGAGAAGGAAAGAGAAAGAGAAAGAAAAGAGAAGGAAAGAAAAGAGAAAGAAAGAAAACAAGGAAAAGAAAGAAAAAGAGAAAGACAAAGAAAAAAAGAAAAAGAAAGAAAAGAAAAAAGAAAGAAAAGAAAGAAGGAAAGAAAAGAAGAAAGGAAAGAGAAGAGAAAAGAAAAGAGAAAGAAAGAAATGAAAGAAAGAAAGAAAGAAAGAAAGAAAGAAAGAAAGAAAGAAAGAAAGAAAGAAAGAAAGAAAAAGAAAGGAAGGAAGAAAGAAAGAAAAAAGTATGTGTCATTGAGAGGGGGCAAAATTAGGATACTGGCTTGAAATTCCCATTAAAACAGATTGCAGACAGAGTTTATTAAATACATTTCTTTGTGTTTCTTAGAATAGCTCTTTAATCTGTGTCTGAAATATACCTAACAGACTACTTTAAAAGATACAGGCAGACAAAATAAAACAAAATGACCTGTCACATCACATCTCACTACCTAGAATATAATTTCACTATGCATGGATGTCTATGTGCATGCATATATATCTTCAAAAATAAGATCATCCTCTTTATTCTATTTTTCAAATTTTTTGTTTCACATATTCTATATTTTTAATAGCTCTATAGTATTTCAATGTATGCATCTATTAATATTTCTCAATCCTGTGTTGTTGGGCATGTGTCCATTTTTTCCAGGGTATGATAAACGGCGCTGTAGCTAAAATTTTTCACACATTCATTATTTTCTTTGTATAGAACTTTTTTTTTTATTTTTTTTTCAACGTTTATTTATTTTTGGGACAGAGAGAGACAGAGCATGAACGGGCGAGGGGCAGAGAGAGAGGGAGACACAGAATCGGAAACAGGCTCCAGGCTCTGAGCCATCAGCCCAGAGCCCGACGCGGGGCTCGAACTCACGGACCGCGAGATCGTGACCTGGCTGAAGTCGGACGCTTAACCGACTGCGCCACCCAGACGCCCCAACTTTGTATAGAACTTTAAAAGCACAATCTCTGGACCGAAGAATATATACACTTTTAGGGGTTTTAATACAGATGTTATAAAAATTTCTCTTAGTAAAGCTGAAACAATTTAACTGTCAGAAAATAAACATTAATGGCAGAAGTTAATACTTTTAATATTTAAATAACTCATGAGAATTCATTAAAAAAAACAGCCTGTGGGGTGTCTGGGGGGCTCAGTCAGTTAAGTGTCCAACTTCAGCTCAGTCATGATCTCACAGTTTGTGGGTTCAAGCCCTGTGACAGGCTCTGTGCTGACAGCTCAGAGCCTGGAGCTTGCTTCAGATCCTGTGTCACCCTCTCTCCCTGTCCCTTCCCTGCTTGTGCTGTCTCTCAAAAAT